ACCATCAAAATAAAAGCGACAAAATCCCTTCCATATTCATGAGAAATCTCTGCCGAAAGCAAAGTCGATTGTATGATTCTGACTACATCAAGAGCATGTGTTTATGAATCACTATCAAATAGTGATGACAAAAGGTGTTCGCGAAAAGGTGAGCGCATCCTGCCTCACCGGTGGCACCACTGGGGTCACTTTGGAATGTATTCCGACATCAAGCCTCACTGTGATATAACTTCGCAAAGAAGATACACCAAATTAACTAACTCATATTTTGTTTTTGTATTTTTTGCTATGGAGAAATTAAATTAAAAGGTTGAGTTTAGCGATTTAAAATCAACCTTCGATTTAGTTACTCGTCTCATGAAACCTAAAAACGAGTTGTCAAAGAAACATTGAAAATAATCATCCTCATCTTTTCTTATTCGTCTCCAGTGTATATCCTTAGGTTAACTGTTAGTTTGCATGCATAGTGACTGAGTAGATGTTGTTTAATGCCACAGTAAGCATTAGTCCAGCCTGTTATGAGTCTGGACCAGAAAAACCAATTTGCTGTCTGGGCACGGTGATATAAAATCAGCCAAGTCATACCTTACGTCACCCGATCGTCATCAGTCGTCTTGTGGCAATCATGGGACGCTGAAGACCTTTTCGGCCCTGCACTTCCCACAGAATGCCAAATAGGAGGTGAATGTTCACTGTAACTAAAACTACCAGATGAGAAACAACATGAGTGTTTTTTTTAGCAGTTATACATTATCTCTTTTGATTTACAAGAAGTGCAGTATAGCCTGTCATCATTTATTTGTCTATTCCAGAATTAGACTTGTTACTTGCTTATTGATTTCATTAATGATTATTTTTTTCAAGGATCACCACTTGTATAATTGTTAGTAACTGATGAAGACTGAAAACGCTGTCACAATTAATAATTTGTCAAGGTTCATTTTCCATGCCATGAATCTTGTCAAGCATGAACCTCAACGACTTCATTTAAATTAACAGTTATCATGGTTAATGATGTATATCATATTGTATAAATGTGCAATCAACTACTATGTATTCATGTGCTAAAGGCCTATGGTCGTCTCAGTATTAAGCTATGAAGATTGGTTGAATTTGACATATATTAAGGGCAATATAAATCCTCAAATACCATAAGTGGCCTTGTCCCTCTCCAAGGGAGCACCCGAGTTGCATATCTGTCCCCTACTTGAGGTGACAGGGTGTCTCTATGGCCGCAGACTGTATTACTCTACGGACACCAGTATTCTTAAGGACACTAGTACTGGCATAATGCCTCATACATTCAATCGGAAAATCTACCGTTACGTAAGCTTAAGGTGAGTGAGGGAGTATGATTTTATGGTAAGTTTTGGAATGTTGCAGCAATATTACGGCTGGCATCAATAATTGCATCACACCCTACCTATATGTAGATTGGAACCCGGTAATTGAAGTGATGAGCAAACGTTTAAACCACCGGGCTACCCCGTCTTCCTCTTTAAAAAGATACGTCCATGTCATTGAAATATACAAACGTATTCCCTTAATAACGTCCACTATAAGCCTCAAAACCAATGCATTAAAATGACACCATATGTTCTGGACAATGGCGGACATTCCTCGTAGAGGTCACACTATCCTAAACTATCCGTTGTAATGCGTCGTAATATGTTGTAGAATATAGGTCCCCAGCAACCTATGCTTGCCGTAAGAGAGGACTAATTGGAGATGGTGCTCAGGCTCACTGACTTGGTTGATGCATGTCATCGTATCCCAATTGCGTAGCTCGATGCTCATTTCTTCAATCACTTGAATCTTTGGTCCACACTCGATTATTTACAGACCACCGAATATTGCTGCGTAGTTCGTTAAACAACAAACAAACAAACATGTGTTGCTTCCTGCGCTCATCACTTTATCATGCATGCCAATCTATGTGTACAAGGTTTCGATTTTCAAGTTTGTGAGCTCTTTACCTTTACACCTACTTTCAGTTTAGAAACGGCTTTTTTTTAACAGATCCTTATGTTTTCGTTTCATGTAAATAAATGCGGCAAAACCCTTTCCATAACCCTAAGAAATCCCATTGAATGATCCTAGCTATGGGAATGAATTATCCTAATATGTTCATTGAGAATGTTAGTAAACTTTGCATCCATCATATCACAATAAATAAAGCGACAAAACCCTATCCATACTCATAAGAAGTATCTGCTAAAAACAGAGTGTATTTACGATGCCGACTATATCATGAGCATGTGTTTATGAATTACTGTTAAATAGTGATGATACCATGTGTTCATGAAAAGGTGTGTGTATCCTACCCCGCCGGTGGCAACCGTCACAAACACATGCATAGGTAAGTCAATTATTTACCTGAAAAAACAAGGGAACATATAGAACAAGTCAAAATAGGGAATTGCATCGGACATAATTTTTATCATCAAAGCGTCAAATATGGAAAAAAAACCTTCTCATGCCAACCATAAAATATGAAATTGTACCCGAGTCCAATTTCAACGGGAGAAAAAACAGTTAATTTTCAATTTCCTCAGCCTGGCGTTCGTTTGTAGTCAAAGACAAGCATTTGCATTAATGCATGTGTGAAACATTGTCCCTGAGTTATTTGGATAGTGATTTACTCGTGCATGGCTATTCAAATCATGTGTGTAAGCGGGCAAACAAAGAAAAACTGCTAGGGCCCGTCCCCATTTAGCTATGCCCAAGCACAATATATATCCAAGCATACTATATATCCAAGCGTCCAAGCGAAATATAAGTCCAAACATACCTTATGTCCAAAGGTAATATGTGCCCAAGTATAGTACTAGTATATATCCTAGCATACTATATATCCAAGCGCAAAATATGTCGAAGCATACGTAATGTTCAAGCACAATATGTGCCTAAGCTCACTTTGTATCCAAGCGTAACATATGTCCAAGCATACAATATGTCCACTACTTAATGTCCAAGCGCAATATATGTCCAATACTTCATGTACAAGGACATTATATTTCCAAACATACTCTATGTCCAAGCATACTTTATGTCCAAGCATACTTTATGTCCAAGCATACTCCGTCCTATCATACCCAGAGTTCAAGCAAACTACATGTCCAAGCGTAATATATGTCCAATACTTCATGTACAAAGACAAGATATTTCCAAGCATACTTTATGTCCAAGCATACTCCCTGTCCTATCATACCCTATGTCCAAGCAAACTCCATGTCCAGGCATAATATATGTCCAAGCAAACCATATATGCAAGTGTAATGTATGCCCAAACATACTAAATGTCCAAGCACAGTATATCAACTTGCCCATGAGGTCATGGACTTTTTAATCATACCATGCCTGCTACAATATCGGTCGGCCATTGGCCAAATCCGCAGCAGGTGACCCCAAGACGTCTACAACAGGGAGGGGGTTTCAGTCATCTGAAGAGGGATTATCCTTCCTGGAGATAACAGCAAACGTGAAGTTGTATCTTTTCTGAAACATTCCTAATTGATTGTTCGGGAAAATAGTCTAATCTATGTCGTTATGAGGAATCGGATATTTTCATTTAAATAACATATTTTTAATACCATTCACCATATCATTTATAAAACTGTTTGAATTGTCTAAACTCAAGGAAGAAGGTTAAATTCATTAATATGGTTAATTTTTGAATGAATCAATAAATACTGGCTTATATTTTCCTTCTTCTTTCTGAATACTTCTTTTTTATTGTATGAAGAGGGCTGTGAATGTAAAAAAACATAAGCCTGTTACGTTTCTAGATAACTGCCACTGTCGGGTTTTTTATTGTTTTTTTATACTTTGTATGACAATTAGGTGTGGTGCTAATGATCATCAATAAAAATACCTACCAGTTCATAACGCAGCTTGTGTCCATGTTTTTTTTATAAACATGCCAACAAGGAAATAATATTGTCGCACTTATTCAAAAATACGCGGTGTAATTGTAACCGATTTAAGATTTGTAAGGAGGTTTCAAATAAAGTTTCAACCACATTAACTGTAACACCATTGTGAAACTATAAATAAACTTAATTCTAGTACGAGCTTCATAATGATAATACTAATATAAGGTGCACTGTTTAAACATTAATCACACGCTCATGTCATCACCACACATGTCTTAGGATTTGAGTAAAGCATATTATTACATATTCAACATATTGCAAGCATGTCCCACTAATCCTCTTTATTATTACGGCGAATGTAATCAGTGTTTGCCGACTTTACTGGTTAATTAACGTGGAGCTGGGCACAATGTTATCATTCTGTGATAACTCTGACGATACCCTAGCGCATTTATAACGTTTAAGCAATAAAATTGCCACAATATGCCCTTGTCTGATACCACTGCCATGGTTTCCTGCATATTGCACTGACAATCTTGGAAATTATTAATTTGTTCTCACTATGAAACAAAATAATATTCAAAATATTAAACGTTCGTGTTTTTCTAAGTTGTACGGAGCTAGATATACGCAGGGTGATGTTCACTGTGTAGGGAGTGTATACAACAAACTTCCTATACAACCAGTATTAGCGTTGATAAACGTCAAACCGTTTGAACCGTATACAGTTTTCACCTGGGGTGCATGGTGACTCACACGACTCATCCCCTAAAATCGAATGCTAATGTGCCCGTTTTCATCCGCCTAATGACTTAATCACCCTATCGCAGACCCAAACAAAGGATTTATCATTCCGCTCCCTGCAAAGTATCAAACTTTCGGTTCCGTCATTCGGTAATGGATCTCCCTCAAAGATGAAAACAGGTTGCCAAAAAGTTGCGGGTTGCGTGTTTATTTGCTTTTCATCAATATATTATCGGCGAGGGACGGGTAGATCTGCCACTAAAACTCACAGACTATTATTAACTCTCTTATCTCCTTACATCGGCCATTTATATCACGTCACGTGATTTGACCATTCAGCCAATCAGAATCCATGTTAGGCGACAGAATCTCTTATCATGTATTTTGCTAAACTGTATCCCTCCACGATCGTGGAAATTATAATACCAGTATACGGGGTGTTCCGTGGACTAGCGGCTGAATATCCGGGTATAGAGGGGCTACCAATGCATCTTGTTTACCCCTGAGACAGTGCTGTGTACACAACGACTCCCACATACAACCGGCACAGCCGTAGCAGACGAGAGTCGTGTGGTGATCGGGTACGCGGATCTCTGAACTCATCTACCCCGCGTCTGCATGCAAACAACACTCCGGTGTAAGGGCCAGCATCCAGTGCACATATCTGGTGTCTGCTTTTTGTACAAGTTGTATTTTGGTTTCCCTCTGGTGCCCAATCCTGCTTCAATACCCGGGATATTGTGAACAGTTCCCATCCACCCTTTCAAGACACCAGCGTCTGGGATTTCCAGGATCCAGGAGCAGTACCTGAGGTCTGTGAGATTCTGACCCTCCTGTGCCCGGTGTAGCACCATCTCTGCCAGTGTACCCCTCCTGCGATCTAGGCAGGCACATGTGCGCGACTCCTTGGGCTTACAGTGTTATCACGAACCCACCCTTGTCTGAATGCCCCCGGCCCCAATGTTAGGGGTAGACTTGTCCCTCGGGATGCCCAGTCCAGCCAAACGTTTGTGTCGCGATGGAAGCTTGGATACACTGCGGGGATCTTCAACGGACACTTCCCCAGACAACACAAGATTCAGGAAGTGTGCAAAGCCGGGAGTTAAAGCAGGTTTGTGTCAACACCCGGGGTAGACACTTGTTTTGGGGTAACATTGTCTTTTTAAATATTATTTTTGTATTTGCTCATTTATTAATTTAGTCATAAGATTGATATTTTCAATCTTCTACACCATCGGGGTTATTAAAATGAATATTGAGCTTAATATTTAACATTTAATTTAATTTACAGTGCCATATACGTATATATACCATGATAGTACAGAGGTCTGGCATAAAATAACATCGTCTCGCATTTTAATTGTTTTAATACTTGAACCAGCCTGGAGGAAATTTAACCATTTTGTTACGAATTACGACCGGATCCGAAACACACATTTCCGAATATATGGACAATTACACAAAGCATATTTTCATTGAATATCTCCCGGGATGCAGGATTTCAAGATTACCGTCGTCCGGATAAATGAGGTCTCACTCTATACCTATTATGACAGGCATGTATTTACCATTGTGTTTCCTATGTGAACATCGTACACACTTGTGACCTCACAGTACAAAATATGTAAATTTGATTTTAGTATAACATGGTATTAATATGTATAAAAATAAAATTACATTAAAGATTTATGATCATTTAACGCACTACATTAAGTATCTGACAAGCGTCTTCGCTAAACAACAAAGCACCGAAATGCAATCAGAAAACCGTTTTATGGCGTCTACGTCGCTGTAAATCTTTGCAATTGGTATATTGTTACGGGAAACCAAAGGAAGACAGAGATTGAACCAGAAATGAGATGTAAGGTTGGGCCCCAGAAGGAAATACGGTGTGACTCTCGTAATACTAGACTGTAAATCATTCGTGTGTACTTACACCCTTACGAGCACCGCTATTCCGCCTTGTAAGAGGATGGGAAATGGATTAAATTGTCTGAATATACAAATATGTCAACAAATCATAAAAGCTACGATGACTTCGTCTGTCAACTCCTAAGTGTAAACATGGCCGTGTACTGTGGACGTCTGGTGCGTGTGAAGTTCGACCACTTCGGTCCCACACTTGATGGCTGACTGATCTCGTTTGACGCTGAAATATGTTTTATTATGTTAAATCTTTATTTGCTAAATATCTATCGCAGCTGACACACATCTGTCTCGCTTCTTGTCTCGAGAACTGTATTCTTCTCATGACATCTGATCGCCGTGACCACTTCGTGAAGTCGTTAATATGAAATGGATAAACGGACACTTTAATTGGAAACATGCACAATGATATTCATTTGCATTTACATCTATGATGTAGAAATTAAAGATACCATCACAATCACACGTGTCGGGATCAGCATATTTGTGTGGTCCAAATGATGATGTAATTTATCCAAGTAGTGATTTTCTCAGTTCTATTTTTGAAGAGTCAAGGTATTTTGTTTGTGACATATTTTATATACTTTTCATCAAACAGCATGGACCGACGTTTCCTACATAACATACCCAGTAAAACAACATTAAAACATGTAAACAAACAAATAATATTAAAATATCCATGTGAAATATTTGAAGATATATGAAAAAGAATCATTTATTTTTTTCCAAACGTGTTCATTCAATGAAAAAACAAAAGCCTGTAATATACAACAAGACTCTTAAGTGGCCATTATTCTAATTGGGAAAAGCACATAATAACAAAATGATATGTATTGAATTTGTCAAGATGCAATAGATATGAATTACTACTTCTGTTTTATTCCTTCTACTCTGATTCGTGGATTTCTATGTTTTTATGACGATTTATTGAACAACAGCTTAAGATAATGTATTAAAATTATCTGTATCAAGTTCTTGTCCTTTTAACACCAAATAGTTCTCCTTGTCTTATGGACTTCTACCAATACATTTTCTGTGCTGAATTCCATAAAATATAACTTAAAAGGAAGTATCTCACCCCCTTAAAGCTTGTTTTTTCTTCAGCAAAAACATAATTTCTTTGTAAATTGAGTATGGCAGGACTCAATTAATAGCGACGTGTAATATATATACCCATGGTTACGGTAAACAATTCAAATATGCAAATTCCTTCTTTTCTCCTTTAATTTTTTTTTTTTTTAAATCCAATATATACAATTCACTGAAACTGCAATATGATTCAGTGTGGACTTTGTTCCCGAGAGTGTTACGGAGAGGTTCAGCGTTAAGAGTGCCCTCTCGAAGTCCGCCACGCGCTGACTATTATCAACTGAGACTTGTCACAGGTCACTTGTGGTGTCAGGCTTCCTGCACGAACCCAGCCCTCTACCCATGATGCGGTCCCGCTCAAACTGACACATTCACAGAAAAGTGGTTAGAATTTCAGAATTGCTTGGGCAAAGACTGTGATGTAGGACACCGTCTTTCTTCATCTACATCTGTAAATCACTTATCGGTAAATGTATATAGAGATTTGTAAACTTTTCTGTCTTGTTGGTAGTCGGTCTAACTAATTATAGTATCATACTAATAACTGTCACACTATTTTTCATTATGAATAATAACAATTCCTTCATAAACATGATTAACATTAAGACTAATTAAAGTATTTTTGGGAAAGAAGACACATTGTACATAGGTTGAAAGTCTATTACAAATACACAAAGAAACTGGAATATTATCCTAATTGTGGAAGTCATATATATTATTGTGATAAATATAATATCTATATTTTCTGTAAGTGTTTTTAATTAATTTTGTTTTTAATACTACTTCTGTTAAGATTTGGGAACAAAATATTATCTATAGGTTTATTGGTGGTAAAATGTGTCCAGATTGAAATGGGACAAATGGATTCTTATTGGTAAGTTACATTCATGAAAATCTACTTTTTGTAGGTAACATACTCGTATATACATGTTCTATTCAATTGGTAACACATGTGCATATACGCCTGATATCTATCACGAACCTAGATATGCATATTACATCGTAGAACGTATCTCTTCAGTTCACGGGTAACTTACATATTCAGATTTGACGCCCCGAAGAGCTACATTTGTCCTATGACGTGCCCAAATATTGACTCAAATCACTGATTTGGCTTCATACTTGAAACCACTTACCCGCTATCATGCCGCAAACGCCGGCAGAAGACAGCCGTTTCCTCCATGGTTGTTTGTGTTTGTACAAGCTGGAAGACCTGTCCGTCCGTACACACCTGTTACAGGTACAGTGTCCTCTACGACCAGACTACATGGCTCGCGGTAATTGGATTTTTATGCTTTCTGCGTTATAAGATGGACATGTTCTTGTGTTTCAAGATCGCCTCTCTGTCTTCCCGTGATGTCTGAAGATGTCTGACATTTGTCTGGGTTGTTGATGATGACTACACAACATTTACTGTACTTGATTTTTTTCTGTGAGTTTTTTAAACGTCTTCTGTCGGTGTTATTTGATAGTGTATTTGGATGAGTATTAATGTTGCATAGAATTGTGAATTAATAAAAGTACAACGGAATCTTAAATTAAATGACGCAATGTTGCAATTAATTTTTTCAATTTTCAATTTCACCTAAAATATTTTTTATACTTTATTCATAAAATAACTTTTAATTATCCCAAATAATTGCACTCTATTAAAGATTAAAAAATATATGTCAACATCAACATCTGAGGATTACCGATAATATATTGTTTGACAGATAGTTAAGTCAATTGGAAGTCACATTTTAAAGCAGTATAATATTGGTAGTAGGCACAACAGATTCGCTACTCCGTGCAGGGTTGACGCGGTAGAGATCGTATAAGATAACTTAACACAGTGGTATTTGGAGTAGCTGCGATAAATCCCCTCAAGTCATTTTCAAACGTGAATTGGAATACTGTTTGGTATTATGTTGGGTTCCTCTCAAATTGTTTGAATTTTCCCAGTTCGTTTTAGTTTGTACCTTTTGTTGTTGTTTTTTTGTTAATTGTGGATTAAATAATTGTCACGTGTTATCGATAGAGGAAATACGCCATCCATATTTCATGTAAACTGTAATGTGTATTATTAAACCTTCATCGACGTGTCGGTAATATGTGCTAGAAAAAGCTTTTTGTTTATTTATCGTTCATGAGATCATTTTAATATTATGTTTTTTGCGTTACTTGAAAATGTAACCGTTTTGAAACCGATATTCTGCTTAGTTTTTATTAACTGGCGATTGTCCTAAAGTTCCTTTGCGTTTATGTCACGCGCGCACGTTCGTTTTTTATCACAAGACGTACATATTATATCAAGCCTCTTGCTATCTAATTTAATCAGTTTTATGGAAAATCTTTAAAGTTAAGAAGTAATATTTTCAACCATTATTTCCAAACAAAGGCCTCAACATCGCTAGTCGAAAGCACCTGCCTCTATAAACTGCTCAGCGTGCCTGTTGGAGCTCTATGAAAATTTGGAATGGTATTAAACGAACAATCTGAATCCTCTTCAGCCGGACTTGTGCCAACATTCTGATTTTAGTACCACCATAGGAAAGCTGGCCAGTTTTATAATCACTGTTTTACTACCAGTGTCCCGTGCATGCGTCTAAAGCAAACGAACTTAAGCATGTAAATGTGGCATCTTAGATCGCCATAAAGATGTAATGGCACAACGAGATGTATCCCTTGTGAGGCGAGTTGCGTCGACTGCAGCAGGTGTGATGATAGCATTCATGAGATCAATGCTCGACCAACAATTATTCGGACCAGATTATGAATGAACATCCTTTAAATGAAATAGGATGATATGATATCTATAACACATGGAATCTACATTTTATACATGTGTTTTATTGTGAACATAAGTCCTCCAATGCATTGATATTGTTTGCAATGGTTGAGATTATTATTATTATTATTATTATTATTATTGTTGTTGTTGTTGTTGTTGTTGTTGTTATGACGCGGGCCTAACGATAAAATACATCCATACAAGGCCATGTCGGGGGGTGGGGTAGCCTGGTGGTTAAAGCGTTCGCTTCCCTCGCCGAAGACCCGGGTTCGATTCCCGACATGGGTACAGAGCGTGAAGCTCATGTCAGGTGTCCCCCGCCG